TGGATGGATGGATGACCCCTCATGGCCACAAATCCTTTATGAGATGCCCGTGACTGGCCTCGTTCTCCACCCCTGCCCCAAGGATAGTTTTGGACCCTTTTTTGCCCAAGAATCCCCAAACAGGGCTTGGTTTGCTCCAGGTCCGTCAGGCACTCCTTGTCCCCAGAGCAGGGGACAGGATCCCCTGTCCCTGTGGGTCCCCTGTGCCAGGGCTTTTTCCATGGGTGAGGAAGCTCCTTTTCCTCTCCAGGCTTCAGTTCCTGCTCCCCTTCCCTCAGGACAGGGATCAAGGCCATGGGGAGGCAGGCAGCCAGCTCAGTCACCCACTTGGATCCTGCTTTTTATTATTCTTTATTATTTTTTCTCCTCCTGAAGAAACAAAGAGAGGAAAAAAAATCTCTCTCTGTCCAAAATCACTCATCCTTCCTAATAATGAGAGCTGTCAGCAGCCCTGCTTGGCGAGGAAATGATGCTCGCAGTAAATATTTGGTCTGGAGCTGATTTATGGGTGGAAAAAAACGAGATCAGTGCTTAATCACTGCCTTCCAGGAAGGGCTTTGGGCCGGGGTTGAGCTCAGGGGGAGCTGGGGCCATGCCAGGGGAGCAGCACTGGGGCTTTTGGTGGCGACCTCGTGCTTGGGTTGGGATTGAACAGCAGCAATGGAGGGGATGGACTGGATTTGGGGCCACCAGGCAGGGTTAGATGGGATATTGGGATGGAATTGTTCCCTGGGAGGGTGGGGACGCCCTGGCACAGGGTGCCCAGAGCAGCTGTGGCTGCCCCTGGATCCTTGGAATGTCCAAGGCCAGGCTGGAAGGGGTTTGGAGCAGCCTGGGACAGTGGAAGGTGTCTCTGCCCATGTCCTTTAATGAGCTCTAATGTCCCTTCCCACCCAACCCATTCCATGATTTCATGACATCAGCTGTGGGGCTGACCCCAGGGAGCTCCAAGCCAGCAGAGCCATTCAGCTGGACCAGCCTGGAATCATCGTCCCCATCCTGAGCCCAGCACACCCAGAGGTCCTTGCAGCCACCCTAAACACAGCAGTAGCTTTCCTGTGTGAGGAAATAATTAACTTATTAGAGGATGGTTTAATTTTCTTCATTAAAGAGGCCATTTCCTATCGCCTGGCAGGGCCAGATGCCCTGGGCACTGCTGGGAGTGGTGGGAGATGCTCAGCTCTCCACCCTCCCAGGGAACAATTCCTTCCCAATATCCCATCCAGCCCTGCCCTCTGGCAGTGGAAGCCATTCCCTGTGTCCTGTCCCTCCATCCCTTGTCCCCAGTCCCTCCCCAGCTCTCCTGGAGCCCCTTTAGGCCCTGGAAGGGGCTCTGAGCTCTCCCTGGATCCTTCTCCTCTCCAGGTGAGCACCCCCAGCTCTCCCAGCCTGGCTCCAGAGCAGAGGGGCTCCAGTTCTGGGAGCATCTCCGTGGCTTCTTCTGGATCTGCTCCAGCTGCTCCAGGTCTTTCCTGTGCTGGGACAGAGTTGGATGCAGTGCTCCAGCTGGGTGCATGGATTATGGATGGAGCATTCCAGGAGTCCTTGATCACCACGAGCTGTTGCACTGCCAGGATGTTCTCGAAGCATCTCTGTCCCAAATGCTGCAGATCTCCAAGAGGCTGAGCTGCCTTTCCCAGGGCTCTCTCTCCTCCTTACTCCAGCTAGAGCAGGAGTGGATGAGCCAGAGCAGCTCCTCAGTGCCAGGATCCTGCAGCCCAGCCCATCTGAGCTGCCAGTGTCACTCTGCATCCCAAATCCTTCCAGTCTGCTGCAGCTTTGGGATCATCTGAGCCAGAAGAACGATGGCTGGGTCTTGTCCCAGTGTGGAAAAATGGGCTGAGGTGGGAGAGGTGGGCGACTCCTCCCCCTGCTCTTCAGGATTTCGTTGCTGAGGAACTGCTCCAAGTGTTTCAGGTTGCCCACACCACAGTCCTGTGCTGTGACAAGCTGATTCCTGGGAATCTCTTGGGGTCCCTCACATTCCCCACTGCTGCCCATTCTTGCTTGGGCCCTATATTGGATGTAGTGACATTAAATGTGATCCTTTAGGGGATTAGACAAGGTCAGCACGGCTGGGGCTGACGAGCTTGTGGACCAAATTATTTTTTTTCACCCAGGTTCTCGAGAGGAAAAGCTTTGGAATGTTCCTTAATGAAAATTGCCTTTGTTTGATGTCAGGGAGAGACTGGGAATTCTCATGGGGAAATGGAATTAATGATCACAAGAGAGATGATGCAGCAACACCCCCATCCCATGGGTGCCACCAGCCCATCCCCAACTCCTTTGCCTTCACTTTCCCCTCCTTTCTCCTCTTTTCCTTCCCAGAGTCAAGAAGAAGAACAAGCCCCTGAACCTCAAGATCCACAACAGCGTGGGGAGCTGTGAGAACATCCCGGCCCAGCGCTCCCCTCTCCTCTCCGAGCGCTCCCTGCGCTCCTTCTTCGTGGGGTACCCGCCCTTCCTGCCCTCCACCCCGCCCGTCCACACCGAAGCCACCTTCTCAGCAAGTAAGTCCCCATGGTCCCCCCAGGTCCCTCCTCCAAGGGCTGGGAGATGCCAAGCAGAGGAAGGGACTGGGGTGTTTTGGAGTCAATGGTTTTAGGGATGTTGCTTGAGCATTGTGGAATTAACCCAGCCTCATGTTGGTGTTTAGAGATTTGTGGGTGCTTCTGGGCAAAGATAATCCCAAAAACTTGATTATTTCTTGTTTTGGGGAAAGCCATGAAGTTTCTGTGCTGTCTGGGTTGGTGGCACTGCCTGGATGTCACCTAAAAGTGACTTTTCTGAGGGTTGCTTTGTCAACCCAGCTGTGGTTTCACCTCTGTGTTTAAAACTCTCCTGCTCCCTGGATTTGGGGCTGATGTGGAGTTTTGGGAAGCCAGTCCTAGTGCAAACCCCATGGAGCCGATCCCAGCAGCCAGCCTTGATCCCACTGGACAGGGCTTTGTCCTCTCCCATGAGATGCTGGTGGTGGCACTCGCTGTGTGGGTTTGCCTCCCAGGTCTGGGAGGAACAGCCTGACTCCCATTTCCTGGTCCCAGACCAGTGCTGGGATTAATTCCAAAGGGATTGAAACTTTTCCAAGCCAGGCGTGGCTCTTGGCCCGAGAAGAACTTCCCTGGAAACACGTGGCAGCTGCTGGGAGCGATTCCCAGCCAAGCTGAGGTCCCCTCGCCTCTTGTTCCTCAGCTAAAGCTTCCTCCAACTCCACATCCAGGCTGGGTTTCTGTCACCCTCCCTTCCCTGGATTTTTCCTTTATTTCCTTTCTGGAAATGTCTTCCTGGCTTGTTTTGGGGTCTTCCACTCATTCCTCCTGCTCAGCTTTTGGCTGAAGAAGGGTTTGCAGCCAACTCCCTTCCCTTCCCTTCCCTTCCCTTCCCTTCCCTTCCCTTCCCCTGCAGTTTGGGATCACTGAGGACTCATCCAGCCCATCCTGCTGTCCTTTTCCTCCTGTCCCTTTGGCTCTGGGGACAGTGGCACCTGGCAGGAGCTCTGCAGGAGGACGATGCTATTCCCAGAGACATCCAATACCCGACTCTGGATTTGCCCGGAGTGAGGGTGATTTTTGCCTTGCTGGAATTGTCTGTGCTCAACTCGCAGCCCAGACCAACAGAGCAGGAACCACGGCCCAAAGCCCATTCCCAGCCCCCCCATTTGTGTCTCCTCGGATTAGCTTTCCTCACGCCTCAGTGTTGGATTACATCCCGTGCTGTGACATCCTGATGGAACGTGGCACTGCCGGAGCGGGATGCGATGGGAAGTGATGGGCTGGCAAGTGACTGATGCTGCTGGAGAGGTGTCTCCTCTCATTTCCCTCCCACTTCCCTGGCTGCTGGGAATGTTTTCCAGGCTGGATGGGAGCTGTGTTTCCCCAGCTGGTTGATCCCTGCCGGGAGGTTTCGGCATCGTTGGAGCTGTTTGGTCCTTGCAGGATCAGCATCCTTGTGGGAGAGATGCCAAGCAGGGCAGACATTGGTTTGTAGGGAGCAGAATCATGGAATGATTTGGGCTGGAAGGGAGCATGAAGCTCATCCACTTCCATGGGCAGGAACACCTCCCACTAGAGCAGGTTGCCCCAAGCCTTCCCTGCATCCCAAGGATTCCCTGTCCCCATCCTTGTGGTGGTTCAACAGCTGAGCTCTCCACAATATCCCATCTCTATGGGCTTTCCTAAAAATCCCTCTGTGGTCACTGCGCTGCAAAGAGAGAGAAAGGGCAGCAACACACACGGAGCTCTTTGGGGAAAAAAGGCCAATTTTTTGTACAGACAGCCCGGATTTAAAGTGTGTTATGTGCAGCCAGGACAGGACAGGAGCTCATTGGACAATTGGGAAAAACATCCTCGGGACAGCACCTCAGGATGTGTCCCACGGGAAAGACACCAGGGGTTAATCTTTATGGTGAATTCCACTCTGTTTGTCACCGTGTTCTCACCCTGGGAGACTCCTCCCTAACTGAAGCTGCAGTCAGCTTGTCAGCCTGGGAATGGAGCTGAGAGTCAGGAGAAATCCAGGCCTGGAGAGAATTTCCAAACTGTGATTCCCCAGCTCTGTAAATGTGTGTGTCCACATCCCTCCCGCCTTTTCCTCCTGTGGGAGCAGCACAGCAGCACCCAGATGCTCTGGATTGATGTGGAATTACTTCCCTAAGCACGGAAACACAAAAATTGTTGTTGTCAGCTGGAGATGGGTGAAGGGAGCCCAGCCAGGCCCCGTCCCTCCCTGGCTGTTTCTCCATGATTTCTGTTCCACAGCCTTGCTGCTCCTGGCAGCAGCACATTCCCATCTGAGTCATCCCTGGCCCAGGTCAGGAGCGGGTTTGGATGCTTCCCTCTGATTTTTAACATCCTTTTGTCCTGATGGGATTTTCACAGAGGACTGGAGGGAGCTGCAGAAGGAACCTCTTCCTCTGGCAGCACAAATCTGGCAGAGGGAATCACAGGATCATGGAATATCCTGAATTGATCCACAGGGATCATGGATCCAGCCCCTGTCCCTGCCCAGACCCCCCAACAATCCCAGCCTGTCCATCCCTGGCAGCGCTGTCCAAACGCTCCTGGAGCTCTGGCAGCCTCGGGGCCGTGCCCATTCCCTGGGGAGCCTGGGCAGTGCCCAGCACCCTCTGGGGGAAGAACCTTTCCTAAAATCCAACCTAAACCTCTCTGACACAGCTCCAGCCATTCCCTTTCCCTGTCCCAGGGAGCAGAGAGCTGAGCTGTCCCTCACAAGGAATTTGTAGGATTTTTAGGTTTAATGTGGTCTCCAGGGATGTCCCCTCCCTGCCCAGTCCATCACATCCACTGCTCTGTGCTGCTGCTCTGGCTGTGCCCCTGGGGGGATTCTCCTGAATCCCAGTCCTGCCTCTTCCTCTTGGCTTTGTGAGCGAGGAATTTACAGTTTGTGGTGTTGAGAATGAGCAGGATTCCAGCCAGGGATGGCCAAGTGACAAGTGCTGAGATGCCACCAGAGCTCCTTGAGCCCCCCCAGCTCCTGAACTGTCCATGAAAGAGCCCCTGAAGGGCTGGCCTCAGGTGGGTTTGGTGGGCAGGGATCCAGGATAATGTCCAGTGGGTCAGGGTGGGAGTCCTGGAGCCCTAAATCCAGTGTTTGTGCTGGAAAGCACCAGGCTGGACCCGAGGACATGACAGTGGCATTGAAGGTTGTCAGATTTTGCCCTTTTCTGACCCAGAGATGGGGCAACTGAGAGGTGTTTTACAAAACTTTTATTCCATTTTCAGTCTCATATGAAGGGTGAGACAATACAGATATTATAATTCACTCCATCACAATCAGCAGCTGACAATTTCCTAATTACAATGCACTGCAAGCATTTCTTGGCCTATCAGCTTTTGTCACATCATGCTTTAAAATACCTTAAAGCCAATCATCTAAAATTACCCCTTGTGAATTCTACTACAATGCATCTTTCATAGCTCTACTTCTCCAAAGTATCCAGTCTGATTTGCAGGGCCATCCTCTGAAACTTTTTTCTAGCTCCATTTCTCTCTCAGCAGTATCTGTTCCATTCCATGGCATTTCTAAGTCAGCATTTCTTATCTCCAGGTTTGCACACAGAAGGTGACAAGGCGAGGTAGCCAGTGCCATCCAGACCCTGGCCCCTCTCTGTGGCCATCCCATTGCCAGTGCTGGGGTGGGGACACTTGTCCCTAACGCTGTCCCAGCCCCAACCACCTCCAGGAGGGCCCTTCCCAAAGGGAACTTCCTTTCTTGGGGACCCCCAGTGGTTTTCTGCTCCCTGGACCTGCTCTGCAGGAGCCATGGCAGGAGCATTCCCCAGCAGCACAGCTGGCAGCTCCCTGCAGCCACATCTGGCCACAGCTGGCAGCAAGGCTCCAGAGGGTTTCCCACCCCAGCAGTGGAGTTGGAGGGCACAGCTTTGTCTGGGTAAGCCCAATGGAGCCTGCAAGGCTGGGAACTGGGGGGAAAATCCCCATGTGAGACTTTAAGCCATGAATGTGATATTTGAGCTGGATAAGTGGGACTGTCATGCTGGAAAGGGGAACTGCCTGGATTAGAAAGGGACTTTTCCTTACTGGAGAGATGCCCCAGGAGCAGCTCCTGCTTCAGGTGATCTCCTCTGCTCCAGCTCAGGTTTGGTTTCATCCTGCTGGGCCCATCCTGGATCATCCTTCCACCTGCTGGACCTGGCTGTGATCCACAGGGTTGGAAGGCACCTTGAAGACCACCCCATTCCAACCCCCTGCATGGACAGGGACACTTCCCACCAGATCAAATTCCATGTGGAATATTTGCCATGTGCACTAATGGAATGAGCAGCCCTTGGTAGCTTGAATCCTGCATGGATTTATATCCTGGGGAGGGAAAGCTGCTGGAGCAGGTGCTCTGGGATCTCTCCCATCCTATTTTGACCCTAAAAGCAGCATGAGCAAGGCCTGTGGTGTCTCATGGAGGGACTTTGCTACAGAGCATCTCCCAGAGCATCTCCCGTGGTTCCCAGCTGGGACCATGCAGGAAGGAAACTCAGGATGGTGGGGAGACACTGGGACAGTGTCCCTGGAACTGCCACAGGCTGAGACATTGGAACTCTGTCACTGGAGCTGGCACAGGGTGCCCAGAGCAGCTGTGGCTGCCCCTGGATCCCTGGAAGTGTCCAAGGTCAGGCTGGACAGGGCTTGGAGCAGCCTGGGACAGTGGAAGGTGTCCCTGGCCATGGCAGGGGGTGGAACAAGATCATCTTTAAGATTCTTTCCCACCCAAACCATTCCATGGATATTATAGTTTGTCTCTGGACTGGGATTTTTGCCTGGTGGTGGAGATATTCCTGAGCCTGAATATCTTTTGCTGTTGAACTCTTTTGGGAAGAGCTCCCCCCTGGTGTCTCCCCTTAGTGTCTCCATGGGACTCACCCCCCTTGGGACCATTTTGGTGACAGCCTGGGATGTTTGGGATAAGTGCAGAGTCTCCTGGCTATTTCTTGGCTTTGCAGCGACTCATCCCAAGTCCACTTCCATCGATTTTATTGGTCCCATTAATAATTGAACATCTGTTTGCTGTAGTAGGAGAAGGGGGTTTTGCTAATCTGTCTGTCTCCGTGATGGATAACGCACTCCCACCAACTCCCCGTGACCCAGCCAGGGGCCAGGAGGTGAGGAGGGGGCAAGTGGGACAAAACTCTGTCCCCATCCGTGTGCTTCAGCACTGCTCCACCCCTGCAAGATGCTCCAGGTATCCTTGCTGAGGGTTTGGGGCTCTCCGAGGGCATCACTGCCCACCCCAAGGAAGGCGGAACCCCAAAAGAACGAAACAGGGAAGCTCCAGGTGCTTTTCTCCATGCGGGACATGCCCAGGGCTGCCAGCTGGGAACCAGCCGGAATTCACCGGGATGGCAGCAGGGGCAGCGAGGGCGTCACGGCCCAGGCAGCGCCGCTGTCCCCGTCACCTCCGAGGCGCTCGGGTGCCACTCAGGAGCGGCGCTGGCTGTCACAGCTGCCTGTCACCGCCGGGGAGCCGGCTGCCAGCGCTCCGCTGCCGTGTCGCCTGTCACGGACACGCCGGAGGTGGCTGTCACCCTTCGCCCGGTTGGTTTCCCCCCTTGCCGGATCTCCTCCTGGCACAGCTGATCCCGTCAAGCGCGGCTGTTGATTTTGGGATGAGCTGTGCCGTGCGGAGCAGGAGCCCTGACCTTTGCTGCAGCGGCCGAGGAAAACGCGGAGGTGTCGGAAGGAGGGTGGCATTCCCTGGCATCGCCGCTGTGCTGTCACCGGGCAGTGCCACGACATCGGGAAGCGGGGTTTGGCTTTTGGGAACCCCTCGGGAGGCAGGAATGGGGTGGGTGACCGGGGGAAGCGTCCATGGGGCTGCTCAGTGCGTGCCACCCTGCGAAATTCCACTTGTGCCCAGTTAAATGTCAGCTCGGAGAGGGAGAGGGGGAATTATGCGAGGAGAGTGATGGCCGGGAGAGTTTGGATTTTCGAGGCAGGCAGGAGGTTGCTGGTGATAAAGGTTTAAGTAATGACTGGCACAGGGGCAGCGGAGCTCGGGAGACATCAATGGGCGGAGAGAGGGAACAGGGAGAGATGGAAAGAGGGAGGAAGAGAAAGGAAGGGGATGGGTGAGAGGCAGCCACTGTCACACTTCAAAGCTTGAGAGGATCAACCGATCCCGCGGCCACTTCTCCATCACGGGGTCCCCACGACAAAACCTGACCCCACCACCCTGAAACAAGATGTGCTCGCGGAGGTTTTTTTTCCGCCTTGTAATTAACGCTAATTGTGGCAATTAGGGGGGGTTTTCAATCAGAATGTTCCTCCTGTGCTGGGTGGAGGCTGCTGCATCTCCACCTTCCCCCGGGCATCCCCCCGAGTTACCATTGCGAGCAACAGCTTTTCCTCCGGGTGGGGATCCGGGGGAGAACCCCACTGAACTCCCGAGCCCCCCAAGCCCTCGGGGCTGATCCCGGTGCCTTTCCCTGCCCTCCTGCCCCGCTCCGCTGCTTTTCCCTCCTGCCAACAGCGGCTCTATTGTTAAACGCCGCGATCCTGCGTGGCTCGCTGCCGCTAATGAAGGTAATTAGCAGTGAGTCATGTCGGGCTCATTTATGTTACGAGGTCAAAATCCCCGCTACACTTCAATACATTTTTGCAGCGAGCACATTTAGAAAGTAATTAAAAGGCTCAGCAGCCACCGTTGCCTCCATCCCTTCTCCCCCTCGCCAGGCTGGCAGGATTTAATTGAGGCCAGCCGAAAGTTAGTGGGAATAAATTGTGGCTGATAACGCGGAGGTTGTAATTTAATTCCGGCAGAGGAGCTGTTCTGGCCCGGGTGTTTGGTTCTTCAGGGAGCGGCGTTGGAGGGGGGATGATGACGACTCAGTTCTGTAACGCGGTTTAGGGAGGGGGGAATGGCACACGGGCAGGCATGAGGCTGTGCATGGAGGGATCACTCGTTAGAGCCTCACCTCTGGGATTTGTGGACCAAATTACCACCCCTGGGGAGGTTGTGGGTGTGGAGGGATGTTGGTCCAGCAGCCCAGGGTGAGTTGTCACTAAGACTGGTGAGAAAACATAAAAAAATATTGGCAATGTGGTGCTGGGGGCATGAATCCCCTCCTCGGCTTTGAAGGGAGCTTAGAAAAATTAGGGAGACTGACTTTATCCATGGGTGGATAAAGCCAGGACACAGGGAATGGCTTCTCTCTGCCACAGGGCAGGGCTGGATGGGATATTGGGAAGGAATTATTCCCTGGGAGGGTGGGCAGGCCCTGGCACAGGGTGCCCAGAGCAGCTGTGGCTGCCCCTGGATCCCTGGAAGTGTCCAAGGCCAGGCTGGACAGGGCTTGGAGCAGCCTGGGACAGTGGAAGGTGTCCCTGCCCACGGGCAGGAGATGATTTTAATGTCCCTTCCATCCCAAACCATTCCACAATTCCGTGATTCTGACATCTCATTTGCTGCCTCTGCCTGTGGAATGAGCAGAAGAAGAGAAGGATCCAGAGCTGCTGCTGGTTGGAGATGCTAGAGCAGGATGAGCTTGGGATGCTTCCAGGATTTCTAACCCAGGGGTGGGATGTAAATGTAACCTTCAGCTGGCGAGTGCAATTAGAGCCCCGTGCCTGCCGCTATATTAAAATGGGATATGAGAGCAAACAGCGGCTCTCCCCGCTCCCAGGGATAATATCCAGCGCCTGTTTAGCCAGGGATTTACCGGCACTCTGAGCAAACAGCCGGGAGCCACCGCTGGTGCCCGGGAAACCTCTCAAATCCCCGAGTGAAAATGCAGCCTTTGGATCCCGGCATGGATCCGCTCCCGGGGCTGAGCATCCTGTGGGGCAGGACCTTTCCCGTGGCTAAGAGGAGCAGGAGGAGGAGGAGGAGCAGCTTTTCCACCCTTGCTGAGGCTGAAGGAGGATGTGGAATCCAAGCATGGCCGTGCTCCTGATGACCCTCCTGCTCCAGCAGTGCCAGTGACCTTCCCTCTCTTTCCTCATCCCTCTTCCCGCTTTCCCTTGGAAGGAGAGCACCAGGACTGCTTTTAAATCAGTTCTTCCCCTGGAATATGAATAGAATCACCTTCGGAGTGGCTCAGTTTTTCCTCAGCTGCCACCCCAAGCCGTGATGTCTTATTAAAAACTGATGCTGAGGCTGTTCCAGCTTTATTTTCCCTTTCTTGTTTGGACATCGTGATGTGATTCTGAAAGTTTTGCAATCCCGCCCTGCCTGTCCATGGATGCACCCTCTCCTCTTCCCCTCCTGGTCCAAACTGGGTGATGGGATCTGGGACAGGACTCCTCAGTTCCCACAGAGCCCAGAGGTCTCCTGCTTCCAGACAGGGAGCTCAGTGAGGCATTCCAGGGGGAAATAGCAGGAAAATCTCATTTTTTGTGCACATCCTTTGCTCCCTTTCCCAAAAAACTTGAATCCCAGCTCCTGATGTTGTCACCAGTGCTGGTTTTCCTGGTCTCTCCCTGCAGATACGCTGTCAGTGCCTCGCTGGTCCCCGCAGATCCCTCGTCGGGATTTAGGAAACTCCATAAAACACAGGTACGCCCACCCTGCTGCCACGGGGGATGAGGGATGGACTTCTCCCTTCCCATCTCTGCTCCAGGACACCGAGATTGGGGACATTCCCCCTCTTCCCCATGCTGGCTGTGCTATCCTCCAAGCCCATTTCAATTCCATTTCAGTTCAGATCCGGTTTAGATAAGGCTCCAGTCGCTATCAGCAAAAGCTGGATATTATCCGTGACCTTGCCAGTCTTCAGCAAATTCCCCATCTCTGGATTAGAACCCTTCCATATCTCCCTGAAGAGGGAAAAGCACTGGGAAGAGTTCTGCTGCTTCCCAAGGGGCTGGGGAGGGGTTTTGGGGGATGCCTGGGGTGGGCAAAGCTGGGGAATCACATGGAGCTGGGATTGGATTCACTTTAGAACAAGCTGCCAGAATCAAAGGAAGGCTCGGGGTTGTGTTTTGGCATCCCTAGAAAAATTCCTCAATGCCTGCAGTGGAGTTTGAGGGCAACAGAGAGAGGATAAAGCAAGGCTGGGGGGATAAGTGAGGCTTCAGCTCTCCCTGGCCACTCTCTCCGTGTTTCTCTCCACAGGTTTTCCACCAAGTACTGGATGTCTCAGACCTGCACCGTCTGCGGGAAGGGAATGTTGTTCGGCTTAAAATGCAAAAACTGCAAGTATGGCACCAGGCTGGAGCTGTTCGTGTCACTCCTTAAAATCGTGAGGGGATCATCGGGGTTTGGCTGGGGGAGCCGAGCAGGGATTTGGGCACGGAGAGACCAACCAGGCTCTCGCCAGCTCATCCTCACAGGAAGCTTTAATGAGCTGTGGAATTGGGTGAATAACACCCCAAAGCAGGGCTGGGATTGTGCCTAGGATGGGATCAGGCTCCTCGGGGAGGATGTGCCTGCCAGACCTCGGCTCTGCTCACTCCAGAGCTCTGAGTCAGATCCTGACAGCCCCCCCTTCCCTAAGCCTGGCTTGAGATCCCCACGCTAGGGAGATTCCCTGTGGAATTATCTGCAGGACATGGGGGATGGATGTGTTGGACCGGGCAGGGATAGCTCTGGGCATCAGGTGGGTTTTGCCCGCAGTTTTGGGCTTCAGGCTCTGTTTCTGCCAAGTTTTGGGAACCTCTGCATCCCGACAGGGTCGTGGCCTTGAGGAGCCAACCCAGCCCAAATCAAAGAGCAAAGGAGAGGGGATAAAATGGGATAGGACCGGGAAAACAGCGAGGCAGAGGCTGGGGCTGCTTCAGCTGCTCTCAGTCCGGCACAGCCCAGCCCTGGGGAGAGCCGTGCTGCCATCGGCACTCGGGGAAGCTGCTGCTGGAGCCGGGATTGCCTTGGCTGGGGCTGGGAGCTGGGAATGTGTGATTGTCTGCGGGTAACGGAGCGATTACGATCGCTGCTGCCGCTGATTAAGCGCTGATGAGTTGGTAAATTGGGATTTAAACCTGCCGAGAAGCGCTCGGTTACTCCACAGCTGGTGGGGCTTTTCTGGAAGGGATGTTATCGAACACAGGGATTTTTAAAGGGGTGATTCCCGTTGTATCCATGCTCAAAGAACTGGAGGCTTCTCCTGCGAGCTCTCTGTGCTGGAGGAGGGATGTTGTGCCTGCTCCCTGACCAGGATCAGGGATGTTGTGGCTCTGGCTGTGCAAATCCTGCTCCCTGTAATCCTACAGAAAAGAACAAATCCATTTCCTGCCAGTCAAAAGTTGGGAGCGAACACAAGGCATTTAGTTTTTTTCCAGCCTTGCCCTGGTGCTGCTTTCCCCGGAAAGCAGAGGGGAACCAACAGGTAAAACAAACAACCGGACCCCAAACCCCCCGAATTAATTCCTGCCTTTCCCTCAAGGAACAGCTTTGTAATAAAAGCTAACACGGGCAGCTCCTGAATTTTCATTACCCAGCTCATTGACTTGAAGCTGCCGTTCTTTTTTTTTCCCATCATTTCCCCTTGTTTTGATAAATCCTTTCCTCCTTCTTCCTTTTCCCCCATGGCTTTCTGCCGACCTGGCAGAGCGTGAGCTGGGGATGCGTTTCCATTCTTAATTAAGGAGGAATGGGAAGGATTTGGGAGTCTGCCTATGCCTATATGCATGACCCGGGGGTGAAGCCCTCCAGACTCCTGCCCTGTCTCCACAAACCGGGAAAACTTCTGCAGAATATCCAGAGGGTGTAAATCATCTCTTTATTTTGGCTAAATATCCTTAATAAAGCCAGGAGGGGAGGACACAATGACAGGGACACATCAGGGACCAGGGCAGTCACTTCCTCCCCCCTGCTGCTCCTGAATTTAATTAAGTATCCAGCAGCAGGATGGTGGGAACAGGAATATTATGGAATGGTTTAGGCTGGAAGGGACCTGAAAGCTCATCCTGTCCCATCCCTTCCAGTAAACCCTTCCCCCAGTGCAGAACTCTGCTCCTTTTATTGCAGCCAGCTCTGGCAGAGGTGACAGTTTGGGGTGTCCTCAAGCCTGACTGGTTCCCCCCAGCTGGCAGAGAAAGGGGCAGCTGGGCAGAGCCCCAGGTTTGGGAATTTCTGTGCTGCTCCATTGGGATGGATGTATTTTCCAAGGCTGTGTCCTGCCAGTCAGCCCCTCCTGATTTTCCAGGATGTGCATCCCAGACTGTTCCTTATCTCTAAGCTCGCTGCTTGGGAATTGTGGGAAGCAGGGAGCCAGGAGGGTTCACTCAGAGTGAACAACCAAACCTCTCATCCGGTCCCTTTCCCAAGGGGGAAAGGAGGGAGAAGCCCTGAGCTCCATCGTGGAATCCCAGAACGGCCTGGATGGGAAGGGACCTTAAATCCCATCCCATTCCCCCCCTGCCATGGGCAGAGACACTTTCCACCATCCCAGGCTGCTCCAAGCCCCAGTGTCCATCCTGGCCTTGGACACTGCCAGGGATCCAGGGGCAGCCACAGCTGCTCTGGGCACCCTGTGCCAGCCCTGCCCACCCTCACAGGGAACAATTCCTTCCCAATATCCCATCTAACCCTGCCTGGTGGCCCCAAATCCAGTCCATCCCCTCCATTGCTGCTGTTCAATCCTAAAGAGGTCGTCACCAAAAGCCCAGTGCTGCTCCCCTGGCACGGCCCCAGCTCCCCCTGAGCTCCCTCGCAGGGAACAATTCCTTCCCCAAATCCCATCCAGCCCTGCCCTCTGGCAGTGGGAAGCAGTTCCCCCTTATCCAGTCTCTCCATCCATCAGTGTTCCCTTCTCACTCCTTTCTCTGTCCCCTGCCAGGCTCAAGTGCCACAACAAATGCACCAAAGAGGCCCCTCCGTGTCACCTGCTGATCATCCACCGCGGAGGTAAGGCCCTCTCTCCTCGCAGCTCCGTGCCTCCGGGGATGTTGCCAGCGGGTAAATCTTTCAAAAGCCCCCCGGGCGATTCGGGAGCCGGACCCAGGCGGGGTCCCCGGTGGGACGGAGGCTCCCGAACCGCTTGGGCGCTCCGGGGAAATGTTACCCACCGTTTTTTCCGCTTGTAGGGAGACGAGCCGGTCGGGGCGAGGCAGATTTGCATTGCAAACCACTTCCACCCACCCTCCCCCTGCCTCCTTTTCTTTTCAGATTCCCCACCGCACGGGGTAAGTCCAACCAGGTTTTCGCCTTTTGCTTCTGTCGAGAGCTCAGGGCGGCTGTGGGACCCCGAATCCCCCCCGGTGCATGCGGGGTCCCCGCGCCGGGGACGCGGCCGTGCCCTGCGGATGCTCGTGGTGCTTTTGGAGCTGCCTGATCCCGCTCTCCTGCGGGAGAGCCCGGCCTAAAATCCACACACAGACAGGCAGAACTTTGCAGCAGGACGGCGGGGGCGGCGCTTCCCACCTCTTTTCTTCCAGATTTTGGCTCCCTTGCTGGCCAGAGGACCGCGGCTGCCTGAGGGAAACGCTTCCGATCGCTCTTGCCTTGAATTTTGAGCTCTTAAAGCTGTTCCTTTGTGTTAAATATCCCCCCAGACCCGCTCCTTGGTTTAATCCCCGGGAAAAGGATTGTGCTGGGGGCACCTCAGAGGGGGCAATTTTACAGCCTCCACCCCACCCCCACGCCCTCGCTTGCAGCAAATTTGGGGGGAAGCGTTTGAAGACCCCCCCCCGTCAGGCTCGGAGCTGCTGCGAGCCCTGCCCGGGAGGCAGGGAAGGGCTCCTGGGATGGGCAGCAATTGGGATTTAGGGTTGTGATGCTGCAAGAGCCGGAGCTGCCCGCTGTGTGTTTTAGGAGCAGCATGGCTTTGGGGTGGCCTCAGCATCACTGAAATACCTCCCGACCCCCTCAAAAAAACCCCAAACCCAACTCTTAAATCCGTTATCTTGGACTCAAACCATTCCTGAGCCCCCCAACCGTCAGGCTGGCTTTTCCCCCCTAAAAAATCCCTGCTGAGAGTGTTCTGAGCCGGCTCCTTCCCTTCACCCCAAAAAGCTCCGGCAAGGAACAGGACAGTGCTGGCTGAGCCCCGGCTCACGGAGGGGCCGTGGCAGCTGCTGGAGCCCCCAGATTGCTGCCTCACACCCTGGGGGGGTTGGCTGTGGCTGGGATGCAGGAGGATCCCGAAGTTCAGCTCCATCCCAGGCTGGAAGTGCCGTGGGAGTCGCTTTGGAGAGCGGTTTGCAAGCACGGGGTGACCCTGAGAGCTCCTGCTGAGCTTTGATGTCCTTTCCTCTCTCTTCCCCTCCTCTCCATCCCCTTTTCCCTCTCCCCCTTCTTAATCCAGCAAGGTTAGTCCGGACAGAGTCGGTGCCCTGCGACATCAACAACCCCCTGAGGAAGCCCCCCCGGTATTCGGACCTGCACGTCAGCCAGACGCTCCCCAAAACCAACAAACTCAACAAGGTGAGCCCTGAGCCCCCCGTGCCCACACCCTGTCACAGGGACACCGCCCCCTGCACCCAAATATCCCCAGCTCTGCAGAGAATCATGGAATCCTTCAGGCTGGAGAAGATCTTGTGAGAAAATTGAGTTTCATTGTTCCCCCAGCACTGCCAAGGCCACCACCCATGTCCCCAAGTGCCACATCGCTGCTGAATGATTCCACCCCTGCCCTGAGCAGCTGTGCCAGGGCTGGACAATCATTTCCATGAAGGAATGTTCCCAAAATCCACCCTGAGCTTGCCCTGGCCCAGCCTGAGGCCGTTCCCTCTCCTCCTGTCCCTGTTCCCTGGGAGCAGAGCCCGACCCCCCCGGCTGTCCCCTCCTGTCAGGGAGTTGTGCAGAGCCACAAGGTCCCCCCTGAGCCTCCTTTTCTCCAGGCTGAGCCCCTTTCCCAGCTCCCTCAGCCTCTCCTGGGGCTCCAGCCCCTTCCCCAGCTCCCTTCCCTTCCCTGGGCATGCATCCAATTAAGTTATTTCTTTTAAAAATAAAATGGGATCAGCACTTCCAGAACTGTCTGGATCCTGCTGTCCCAGTCCTGCTCCATTGTGACCTCTGAGTCTCCAGGTCCAAGCTGAATTTGGGGTGATTTGAGGTCTCTGCTCCCAGTGGAGACTTCAATAAATAACAAATTTATTGTTGCAAATAAAACAAGCCTGGGATTTGATTGTTCCTGGCAAAGCTGCTCAAGCCAGACCTGACAGAGCACCTGGCTCACTCCTGCTCTGTGTTGATACAATAAACCCATCACAGGTTTGGTTCTGCTGGAATTTAAATCCTGTTGGCTTCCAGTGGAAAATTCCTTGGAGGAAGGGCAGGGTGAGGGGTTGGCAGGCTGGAAGTGCTCAAAAAGAGGAATATCACCGATGTGATGGGGAATGGACCAACAAAACCCTGAATTCCCAAAGCCTGGCTGAGCTCCTTGAGCCCTCAGCATCTTCTGGCTCTGGGAAAAGTCTGGGTACCAAGATGCTCCTGGAGACGCTGATTTTAAACCTAAATCTTTGTAGGAATTTCTTGGTGTAGGGATCTGCTCTGGTTTTGTTGTTTTGGGGTGGTGCTTTTGTCCTAGGCATTCCCATTCAAGTTGAAATTTCCCCTATAAATATTCTTATTTCAGCAGGGCTCCCTTCTTACTCTGGTATTTCTTAAATAATTTCTTTAAATGTATCCTGAATAAAATCATGGAATGGCCTGGGTTGGAAGAGACCTTAAATTACTCTAGTTCCAACCCTCCATGAAATCTTATTTTTGTGACCTTCACTGGTTGCTTAAAACAGAATTTACCTGACCAAGATTACTGAGCATGGAATGATGACCAATATGAGTTTCCTGGAAAGCCCAGCTCATTTAAGAATTAATTAATTAGGACAAAATTACCTGCTGGGGAAGGCTCGTGCAGAATTTTTAACCTTAGAGGGAAATTCTGTGGGGATGGGAATGCTCAGCACTGCTCAGACCCTGCTCAGTGGCTCCAAGTTGGGCAGCAAGGGGGGGAAATTCTGATTTTTGCTTTTCGGATCTGAGATGTCCATGCAGGTTTTCCTTCCTGTTGGCTCTCGGTGGTCCCTTCCCACCCATCCCAGTGGGCACCCAAAATCTCTGACCTTGACTGGGAAGTGTCAAGGAATGTCTTGGGATGCATTGGCTGCTCCTTCCAGATCCCTCTGCTCCCTGCAAGGGCCTGGGGGAGCTCAGCAGGAACTTCCAGGACCTTGCTGTCCCCAAGGACCCAGCCACAAGGTGGTGGCCCCAATTCTGGCTTTGGTGGCCATGGCTGTGCAGAGCCAGATTTGCACAACCTTCAGAGGGGGGAGGGTGGGAAAGGAGCCAATTTATGGTGGGAAATGGTTTTGAGGAATGCAGACAGCTTTGGAGCTCTGGGTGTTTTTTAGGACGTCGGGAAGCAAGGGGTGGGATGGTGTAGCTGTCACTTGTCACCTTTGCAACTCGGGGTGGCACCAGCGCTGCTCTGACTGTCCCTTCCCTTTTCCCTCCTCCCCGTGTCCCTCAGGACCACATTCCGGTGCCCTACCAGCCAGATTCCAGCAGCAACCCCTCGTCCACCACGTCGTCCACGCCGTCGTCGCCGGCGCCGCCGCTGCCCCCCAGCGCCACCCCCCCGTCCCCCCTGCACCCGTCCCCGCAGTGCCCGCGCCAGCAGAAGCAGTTCAACCTGCCAGGTACTGCCACCCCCTGCCCCTGGCCCCACCTGCCACCCGAGAGGGACTCTGGGGTGTCCTTGGGATGTGGAGCAGTTCCAGCTAATTCCCTTCCTGGATTTACGCTGGGGTGCGGAGAAGGTGGAAGTAGAAATCAGGGGAAAAGTTGGGTTTGGGATAATTCAGGTTGGGAGTCTCAGGACAAATCTCCTGCTTGGAGAAGAGCCCAAGGCTTGGAAACCTCCAGGGTTGGAGCCAGCACAACTTCTGCAGCTCTTGAGGCTGCAAAACCTTCCTAGGCATGGACTTTGTATGGCATTTCACTCAGGTGCAAACACAAACAGGGGCTGACCCCTCCACGAGGGAAAACTGGGGTGACCCTGGCATGTTTTTGGGTTGATGGTCCCCAGCAGGTTTACTGGCAGCACATGAGGGGTGACATGATTCTGGGAGTGTCAGATGTGGATTGTCCCACGGAATCTGGACCTGGGATCCCTCTGATTTGGGATGGTGGGAGAAGCAGGGAGGTCCCTGTGGCTGCAGGACATAGAAATTATGGAAGATGGCCCAAAAAGTTCCTCCTGGGCTGAGGATGTATCAAAGCCTGTCCCAGCGTGTCTGCCCTCCTTTGGGATGTCCTGCTGCTCCAGGAGAGCTCCCTGCCAGGAGGGAATGGCTCAGCATCATTCCTGGAAATTGTCCTCCTGCTCCCAAAACAGAGCAGGCGAGGGGAGAGGAGATCTCTGGGATGCTGAAGCACTCCCGGCTGTCCTGGTGGCCCTGCTCCATTCATGACCCCTTTGCTGGAGCTGCTGGAAGGTTGAGGGCCTGCACCCCCAAAATCCAGGATTAATGAGCTGGTGGGGTCAGAAGGAAGGTCAGGATGGCTTCTCCAGAGAAACCAGGCAGGATCTTTGTGCTCCACTGTGGTGCTTCCATCCTGACAAGCCTTCAACCAGAGAGGAGGAGGAGGAGGGAGATGAGGAGGAGGTTGCAGGGTAGAATCCATCACCACAACAACAAACACTTCCAAAAGCTGGGAAACGCCCAGGAATCTGCCACCCATCGTGTCCTTGTGTGCCTGGAGGGTGGCAGTCCTTGGGAATGCCTGGGATTCCAGCAGGATCCTGGAATGGCAGGAGGAAGCTCTGAGCACTCCCAGGAATGGTGGGACCCATCCAGAGGGTCAGGATTTCACCAGGCACAACCCTGGGGCCTCCAAGGTTTGGGAGGACACGGTGTGAGTTCCACACTGGTGTGATCCAGTCCAGGGAGTTCTTCCAAACCAAAGTACCCCGGGGTCTCAGCATCCCAATCCACCTGGGGGATCCAGCCTTTGGTGACCCCATCATGGGTCACTCCTGGAGCAGGAGCAAAAAACCCTGTGGGGTTTTTTGGGACATTATTTCACGGGATTTGAAACAGAAACCACGGATTTCACCCCCACTTTGGGAACCTGGAACACATTCCCACCTGGCAGAGCCAGAGCAGGTCAGGATCAGACCCTGGCATCCCTGGGGGTTGTTTGCTCCCTGTTTTATTCCCATGAGGAGCAGAATGGGATCTAAAGCAGGACTTGCCCTGCTTTCATCTTCCCAGCCAGGAAGTTTTCTGTGGTTTATCCCATCAAGGTGCTCATCTAGGGATTAGGATTTGAGCTTGGAAATTGTGACATGATGACCTTTTCCTGCCAGAATTACCATCCAGCCTCCTTTGATGTTGGCTCAGGTCCTGCTGCAGGGCTGAGGTCACACTTTGGGGTCTCCAAGCTGGAGGGGGGAAGCTGAGGGATGGCCCTTGGGGTCTTGGGGACAAGAAGGTGACTTCTGAGCTGGTGCCAACCTCTGGTGACCTCAGCAGCTCCGAGTTCTTCACACCCATGACCTGCCTGCCCACGGAATGGGATCAGTCCTTGGGCTGGAGATGGGAGCCAGTGGATGTTCCCAACACCCAGAGCCTCTCTGAGCTCTGGCTTTGGACAGTGGCTCCTGGGGCTCCTTCCAGGAAGGACACGGCTCCAGAGCAAGGGAGAAAAGGGTGGAATGTGGCACAAATGGGCAGCACTTCCAAACCCATCACTTGGTGTCTCCATGATGCCAAGAGCTTCCCAAATTCCACCTGAGGGCCAGCACTCAAAGCCTGATGGCAAACTGGTGTCCAAATCCCAGCAGTGACTTCATGGATGACATCAACGCTCTCCAAATGGTGCAGAAGAGTTGATGTGGGGAGAAAAATCAAATTATAATCCAGCAAAGGTCTTAGTGTTTTGGCTTGGGCATCCTAAGTGCCATTTTGGAATATTCCATCTGGGGATATGGAAGTGGGAGAGGTTGGATCACACAGGAGGGGTTCACACAACTGGGGTTGAGGTTTCCTGGTGAAGAACTGGGCACAGGTTTTCCAGCTCCACAGGTCAGTGTTGAACTCTTTTTCCTCTTTTCCAGCCTCCCATTACTACAAGTACAAGCAGCAGTTCATTTTCCCAGGTAAGGCTCTCCAGAAGGTTTTTCTTGGATGCTGGGATTTCTCCTGGGTGCATGGCCAGCTCTTCAAACCCCTGGATTTGTGCTGGAGAGGTCATGCTGGGGTGGGATTTCTCCTCAAAGCCTATTGATGCTGCAGGATTGGGTGGCCCTAAGTGACACCCAGCCCTACTTTGGGGTGTCACTGAACCAGACCTGGGGGTGAAAGGTGGGAAATTCAATTCCCAGAGGTCTCTGACTCCTCTCTCTCGTTCCCAGATGTGGTGCCTGAGACGCCGACCCGAGCCCCACAGGTCGTCCTGCACCCCGTCACCTCCAACCCCATGTGAGTGACTCCCCCTTCCCATCCCCTTCCCCTGCACCCCAAATCCTCCAGGGCCCCAGGGGTGCTCCCCTGGCCTCGGGTGTTCCTGGTGAGACCCTGGAGCTCTGGAAGGTTGAAAAGGAGGGCAGGGGGTTCATTTATAACCCACATCTCTTCACTAGGGGAAAAAAAAAACCAAACAAAAAAAAGGGATTTCAGTCCAAAAAATCCCAAGCCCAAGGGATTAATTCAATTATAATTAAATTAAAAGTAGATAACCAGGATACCTTTACCACTTCCAGTATTTCAAGCTCAATAAACTTTGGGCTGAAAATTGGGAAAATCATCAGAGTTAGAACGATCCCTCCCCAGCAGGTCGAGCCTAAATCCATCATTCCTTGATGTCTGGTGCCTGTGCTGCTCCAGCAGCAGATTCCACTGCTGGGCCCTTCCTGATCCTTTCTCTGAAGGCCATTTGTGAAGGATTTCACAAGCCAGGGGTTTAAAGGATCAGGTCTGGCTCCACTTTGTGGCTGGCTAATCCACTCTGTCCAAATTCCACTGAGGATCCAGTGAAGCAAAGGATGGAACCACAGTCCCTTGGGAATTCATGGAAAAATGGGGAAGTCAAAACCTTTTTTCCTTTTTTTTTCCCCCCCTGCCTAAAGGAAGATGTCAAGACATAGGATTTTTTTGGGAGGAACAGCTTCCAATATCCAAAATCTGTGATTCCCACTGGCTTCCCCCACTGAAAACGTCCCATGGGAGCCATCCTGGGCTTGGCTGGGTTAAAAACACCTCTGGATCCTCGGGAGACAGGAATTCGTGCCTGGGATAGCAATGAGGAGCTGGCTGCTCCTGCAAACCACCCATCCATGGAGACGATTTGCAGCCACCTGGAATTCCCAAGCTGCTCAAAATACCAGGATTGACTCCTTTAGTGTAGGATCCTGGGAATTTTAGTCTTTCATGGCTGTGGAATGGGACAGGACTTGCAGGGTCACCGTGTCAGAGTGGCCTGGGGAGCAGAATTCCCCTGGGAAGGGATTTTGTTATATATGTGATCAATAATATTTATTTATAATATATTCATATGATGTTTGAAACCACCTGAGGTGTTCCAGCTGATCCCTCATTCAGAATTTCCTTAATTCCCTGTTAATTGTCAGGAGCAGTGAGACCCTGGTCATGGACCTGGAGATTGGGAGGTGCTGAGTGAAGAGGGAAGGAAAAAAACCTGGAAAACCAGTCAGAGTTGGGTGCTTTAGTGCAGGGAGAGCATCTTTGAACCCTCCACTTCTCCAAAATGATTGAAAAACTTTTTTTTTTCCTTCTGCACTTCTGCATTGACTGGTCTTGGTTGTGAAGAAATCTTAGAAATCCCTGAAAACTCCTCAAATCTGTGGGGTGGGGTAAATCTGTCCCTTTCCCTGGGTTAGTGACACCTTCTCCTCTCTGATCCCTTCATCCCTGGGGCAGGAGGAGGGACTGCTCCCCAGATCCCAGTGTTTTTCCATGGTGTTAATTCTGTAATTCTTTTAACAGCCTGGAAGGAAACCCATTGCTTCAAATTGAAGTGGAGCCCACCTCGGAGGTGAGACAGCTCCTGTGCTTAATGGGCCTTGGTTTTAAGGATATCTTGGGGCACATTTCCTAGGAAATGGAGACATTTCCCATCTGTGCAGTGGAATTGCTGATAATTGAATTAAAGTCCAGGCATCCGTGTCCCCACCCCATGGAGAAGGACCCTCCTGGGCTTCAAGTTTGGAATTGACTGAGGTTTTTTAGGATGCATTAAAAATGCAGTGGAAGGGAAGGAGGGGAGAGGAAAGATGACGACGGAGCTTTTAAAGGATGCTGTAAATCCTGTAAGAAGTCTAAATGGACCATCAAGGGGTCTGGGAATAATGGGAATTAGCAGAGCAGAGCTCAGCCAGGGGAGGATGAAACTGTTTTAAGACAAATTAATTAAATCTCCGATGAGTCACAATCTTAAATTCAGCCCCAGGGTAAATAAATGGCTCCACAGGGAAGTGGTGGAGTCCCCAGCTCTGGAGGGATTTAAAGCCCTATGGGGCACTTGGGGACAAGGGTTTGTGGTGGCATTGGCCGTGCTGGGGAAGGGCTGGGGTGTGGGACACATATTGAGAAAGTAAGAAAATTACAGCCTGAAAAATATTCCAGGCTGGAGCTTCTCAGCTCTGTTCCCAGCC